TGATTACATCATACAACTATACATCGTATTATTTAATGTTTCATCATAGTACTGTTAAACAATATACATATAATGTATAGCTTAATTAAAATTGAGATTTAATTGACATGTAAATTATTTTGTTTTTCATAAAAAATTTATATTTTAATTTAACATATGATCAGTTAATCTACTTTTATTCATGGAATCAAAATAATCTTAACACTGTATAATTAGTAAAGTATTATAAATGAATTAGTTGATTGGTAAAGATTTATCAGTATAGGGTTGTGGGGATTATTAAGTTTTTGATTGAGATCTTGAAACCGATTGATGTTAGACTACCATTGGAAACTTGGAAGCACTAGACTCCTCAGCAGTGCGGATGCACGATCCCGCTCGCGTGATTCGAACCCAGAGCCTTCGTCCCACAATGGGACGAAACGGCCGTCTAGTGCTTCCAGGTTTTCAATGATGATCTAACATCAATTGGTTTAAGATCTCAATCAATAACTTAATAATCTCCACAACCCTATACTGATATTTACCATGTGCTCACTAGTGACTAGCTTCGTGAGGGGATTCTCGGAGTTCTAGTGAGAAACTGTGAACAGTGGAGTTATTCCGCGTCGGGTAGAGACAGGTATCTACGTCAGACAATGGAAGATGGTCGCGCAATTTCGTGGATTGGTTGAGGTTAGACCGTTGGATGCCAGCTCAGTGGTCAAGTAGGTTAAGCGTTCGCGCGCGAGACTAAGGGCACTGAGTTCGAACCCCGCGAGCGGGATCGTGGATGAGCACTGATAAAGATTTCACATATAATTGAAATTAACCAGTAAAGTGGTGATATAAAGTTTCGTATTCAGAGTATTAGACATTCAATAAGTCAGTGGTAAATTTGAACCTTACTTAACTTCAGTTCATCTGTACAACCTTTTGTTATCATTAACAAATTATATGAAATTACGTAACTGAAAGTTAAGCACGTATGCATGTATTTGGTAAGTTATAAATTAAAAATGTTAATTCAGAAGAGGATAGTCTGTCAGTTAGTTATGATTAAGCAAGAATTTCCACTAACAAAATTTATGTATTTATGTGAAAACTTTACAAGCTGTTTGAAGGTATAAACGTCAAATGGAGACACCTTGATAATAAGTGAAATTAATGAAAGTCTGTCCGTTGTGTTACCCCCCTTTTTTGAATACTGATTTTAAGTTTTAGATCACTGACAGAAAAAATACGTTGATTTCATTCCTTTTTATGTATAAATCTATGTTGAAAATGTAGTGTGATTACATTTCATAATGGTTTTGATTAATTGAACGCCACTGAGCCATTTTGGTATTGCTCCATAAAAAGAGAATTATGTTTACATTTGTCTATGCATTGTATAAACTGAAACTCACTTTAAACCCTCAATAACTGTATTAATTTTCTAATTTTAAAAGAGTATCGAGCATTTTACCAAGTAAAGTTTTATTAATGGTAAGATTCTAAAATATAACTTTTGACTGTACACCAGCCAAACTGTCTGTTTTCATAAGTGAGTTTAGTGAATTCATTACTACTGTTTTCACGATTACTGAAATCTACTGGTTGGTAATCATACACCCATTTCTCATATACGCTTAGATCATTACATGGAATGTGTTTCGTTGAAATTATGTGATAAGGTAGACAAAAACATTTTACTGTATTAACCGAAAAAACAACAACAAATATACAAACTACGCTAAAAGACTGACAGTCTAAACGTTGTGAAACATAGTGAAATTCATCTCTTGAAACCTGATATTAATACCATTACTTATCTTCTTGAGCTATACTCTAATACTTATTATTCCAGAGAAACATTTATCATATGAAAACCGATCGTTGAAGTTATTCACATTTTATGAAGACAATAAAAGACAAAGGAAAGTTTGTCCATAAAGAATAATCTGATTGACTATTCGAAAGTAATTGTTTGGCACTTGAGCGACACAAAGAATAGACTAACGTTTGAAAAACGATGTGGTTAAAATCTATCATTCTATAATTGTTAATTTGAAAATAGATCAAATAGAACGATGAGGCTTATTTGCTACATCAGTCATCTACATATTATATAAAGTATTATTGTTCGAATCCATTCTACCTCAAAAAGAAATAGATTTTCTTAAGTGTTCATTAACGCTAGTATCCTAAAGTGCGATAAATGATGGAATTTATCATTCCTCATAACTGTAACATGACGATATGCTTACATACTATTCAAGAGGCATACTTATGTCCAATATATATCTCCATATAACTATCTCTTTTAGTAAATCCTTCCTTATTATTATTACGCCTTAAATACAGAAAACAAAGACAAAATGATGCAATAGTTTGTACTACAGACTGAGCTAAGTTAGGTAGCCAATGAAAACTAAGAAGTAGCCGATAGTTCTTTCGTCTTAGTATGATGCTACCGAACAATTCAAATCCACCAGGTCACCAGGAATCGGATACAAGATCTTAGAAGCCAACAGTGAGCCCCTAACCTTTTGACTACCAAGTTGGCATTCGAACAGTTACGTTCCTGATTTCATTTAATTCATAATTTTGCACACCCCTTTTCAAAATTCTTTTGATGGGTAATTGTCTCACACTTTACATGGTTGAGGTTTAGTAGTCATAACCTCTCATTACGATTCTAGGTATTAATGAGTAGCCGCAGTCCCTCAGTTCGGCAGCCGGTGAAGTCGTCGATGAACACTACGGAGCCCCATACTTGCATATTGTTTCCCCGTTTTCAATAATTGTCTAACCAAATCCAGTCTCGATAATCTCGAGAAACCTTCTGTACTAAAATAACTTCAATTTTCAAAATAATGTTTTCTGTTAACAAATGCTAGACCCACCTATTTAATAATAATGGTTAGGCTACTATTTTAATTGAAACTATTAAACATACATCAGTTTGGATACAAGTAGAAATTTAGATGCGCTTGCGGTTTTCCATCAAAATATAGGACTCAGTTAAGTGGAAGAAGACTAGAGTATTCTGGATTATCAGTCTTTTTTTTAGTTTTGCCTTCTTTTCAACTGTAATACTTAATTTCTAAGCACTAAGTGGAATGAGTTCGAATCTTGTGTGGAGTATTAGTTCTCCTAAGACTGTACATATGCCTTTAATAATACAGTTTCAACTAGTAAAAAAACTAGATCTAAGGATGTTCGACGTCCACCTTCAAACACCAAAGATCATACTATGAGTATATCGATTTATATTAGACAGTTTTGTCTTGAAAGGAATAGGTTCATGGTATATTTTGAATATTGATATTTTTAAATATCATTGTTATATATATGAACAAATAGTGTCCTTAAATTCACTTTATAAAACAATATGATAGACTGTCATTTGACTTATTCACTTTTGTTAAACAATTTTGAGTGATCTTGTCTAATAAACTATTCGTTAGTTCAATATGTATGGACGCATGGATAGATTTATGAATAAATAATTCATTGGAATTTTATTAATAAATAAATTTTATTGAATCTAAATTATTGTAAATAATTTTCTTAAAATTTACATCATCTATTTAATGAATATTATATGGACGAATGATTTCAGTGTTCTTTTTTATTGTTTAAAGATAATAAGATATTCAAAAGGACACTTAAATATGAGAGTCAATGTTAATTTAAATAATTCTGTTTCAGCAATTGAATTTATCATCAATGAAAACCTGAAAGCACTGGATGGCAGTTTTGTCCCAGTATAGATTTCCTAAGCGATACGCATCCACGACCCCTTACACGGGACTCGAACCTAGGACATTCGGTCCCGCTCCCGGACGCTTAAACCCAAGATCATGAATCGATTGAAGCTAAACATTAACACCGTCGAATGCCGACTCAATGGTCCAGGGGTTAGTCGTTCACGTGTGGAACTGAATGTACTTAGTTCGAGTCCCATGTGCAGGATCGTGGATACCAACCATAGAAGAGTCCTATACAAGGAAGAAACGGCCGTCTAATGCTTCCAGGTTTTCAGTAGTGGTATAACATTGATCGGTTCATGATCTCAATACTAACTAATAAGCTTTTTCTAATGTACTTTTCAAATAAAACAAAGGTTCACATTTAATCAACTTCTAATTCAGGATCCAATCATTGATAGATTGTCTAACTATCAATGATTATTTTAAATGAGAAAAATATGATATTGATATACAATTAAATTCTTCAAGTCTATCGCACAGTTTAGAGTTAGTATATGGCTGACGCTATTTTTTGATAAACAGTCAAAACAAAAACCGGTAAGTAGACTAAAGATGTGTGTATGTGTGTGTAACAGTGATTGGATGAACCATAAATATATCAGCTGAAACTAATAAGATATAACTGACACAAATGCCAAAACGTCTGATATATATATATAGGATTAGTGTTTGCATTACAAATTACCTAAATATTTAGAAAATAATTATTAAATAATCATTAGACTATCTGTATGAATGTTGACAATCCCGATTAACATGAAATATTTAATGTGTAACAACAAATTTTGAAGAATGAAGCCTTTTATGACTGTAGATGTTTAACAGTGCAAAGATTTTGGTAAATTGTTTCAAGAGATAATTTGAGGAATTCTGATGAGAAGTTATGATCAGTGAAATTCAACCATGAACGATGTAAGACAGCTACTTACCGATGGACTTGTAATGTGACTGTAAAATTTTGCGAATTGATTGAAATAAGAAATGTAAATCAATAGGTGACAGCTAAACAATCTAACGGTTAGGCTCTCATCAAGAAACTTAAAAGTCTTATATTCGATCTTCGGTGTGCTCATAATATTCGCTGTTAGTAGGCTCCATACTTCAGTGATACAATCGTTCGATGCTTCCTCATAATCAATGGTTGTTTAACAAAGAGTAATACCTGTTGAAAATGATGAGGTAAGTTGAATGGAACTTATTAATAATGACCTAAATATATCTGATCTTTAAAAATTCTAACCATATTACAAAAATAAAACTTACGCTCCACGTAATTCAACAGCACGATCAAAATCACGAGCTTTCATTGCTTCAGCAACTTGACGTGTCTAAAAAATGAAAGACAATATGACCTAATCACATTTAAATGAAGTGATTGTTTGAAAAATTTATATAATTCAAGGTGACTTTTATTTAGAGAGACAAAGTAAAGTAAAACTCAAATTAACAGATACGGAAACAAAGAGAGTAAAGACAGGGATGAAAACCTGAGATAAGAATCGGTTTATGGTTGAAGCCAGGCAGTATCCTAGAAATATATACTTCAACGTGTCGGAGTGTACTGAAACATCTAAATGGTTTTGTAAGCATACCAACTGATAAATAACTGGGCACCTTATAACTATCTTTATCGATATAAATATATTCAACTACAATATAGTATACAATATAACGAATTTTAATAAAGACCTCTGTTCGGATGATTTGAATAAAAAAATTCTAGACGATGCTCCAAACTGTACTATTACAGACGAAACATTTTAAGGAATGCATATATATATATATATATATATATATATATATATATATATATATATATATATATATATATATATAAAGAGAGAGGGTTTGAGTTTTAATAGTACCAAAATTATGAACTGGTTTCGATCAGACTCTGTTGGTATATGTTCATTCTTAGTGGATTGCCTCGATAGGGACCTTGGTTAGTGATCGAATCTAAGACGTATGTTCTATTTTGTTTGGAACTCGTCAGCTAGATGCATTTGCATACCAGTGTTGGTGTCCACGATTGAGACTCGAGCCCAGTACCTTTCGTTTCAAACTCCAACGTATTATCTACTGAGCTACTGGATGAAGTAGATAACTTGTAGGCTTTTGAAGCGAACGGCACCGAGTTCGAGTCTCTAAATAGAAATCAGCAAAGAAATACAAGTAAATTCAAGTGACGAGTCCCAAATAGGACGAAAAAACGTTCTTGATTCCACTGCTAGCCACAATCTAGCTCTACTAAAAATGTGTTTGTCAAGTAGTTAGCTCTTACTTAGTGGACTATTTCAGAATATAAGTTTACTTAACGGATATTATAAACACTACACTAAGATAAGTAGTAACTATTACTATAGTTTTATTTCAACTTATTAACAAATAATCTGAAGTTAATTCTCATTATATTAACTAAAGAACTATCGAAAGCCAAGGTGAACAATACTCTTATCTAGTTTGATTCGGAACTTCTTCACGGTGCTAATTCAAAACATTAATAGGGTTTAAACTTGAAGTTTCTGGTTCTTATAGTGCACACGTCATGAATGGAGTGAGGAGTCGTAATTTAATGATTCCTATCATTGAATACAATTTATAAGTGTTAGTTATGCAACCGTTATTCGATGACATGAGTGATATATATCTAAAGCTTAACATGTTTCAACTTCCCAAGTTCCAGCTTTTTAGCAAGACTCCGAGGATCCATCTCAGAGACTTTTACTAATCATCATATAATTATTATCAAGCTGAGCCTTTAATTTTAATGTTTTAGCAGAGGGTTTTACTCGGTGATGCAAACTCCCTATCATAGTGATAAATAAATGCTTGAAATATGAGTAAATTATTTCATTTAACAGGTATAAACAACTTACTCTCTCAACACATTTCACAAGTGGCACACGAACTGCTTGATTACCATCTAAACTAATAACACATGATGGGAGATTAGGATCACGATCAGCATCCATTAGGGCTAGAACAGCTTCAGCTCCCATACGACTGCCTAAAATACGATCAAAGGCTGATGGTGAACCACCACGTTGTACATGACCCAAAACAGTTATACGTGTATCAAGTTGAAGTTCTGATACTATTAAATTTTTCACCAATTCACAAGTGATAGGGTTACATCCTCTATCGATAGCACCTTCAGCAACCATAATTATATTGACACGTTGTCCATGTTCACGATTCTGATAATCAAAAATAATGCATATGAAAACTATGAAAAAGAGATTGTACAAAAGTGTAAATACAACAGTACCATTTACAAATACCGATCATTATGAATGAATTAGCAAATTATGACAGATCGAATAAGTGTTAGGGATATCGTTGTCGTTATAATCAATCAATGGGAAACTCCCACTAAATTTATTTTGATAGTAATTATGATTATATATTTGTTAGTTGTCAAAATATTGTTTGTGCAGGTTGTGTAGTAATTGAATATTTACAGTAATCAGTGATTGCGAAGCCAGTAGGTGATTTGTTTGGTTGATGTACACAATAGAATACCGTTGATCAAGTTTGAATGTGGCTACTGAGTTGAGTTATCCCAAAAAATGGTATCTTTTGTTTGTTTTTCTTAAAACATTTGGCTGGTAGAAGCAATACAAAAGTTTCAAATCAAAATATAATTTTTATTTGGCATTCATTAGGAAGATGTACAGATAAAATTTGGATGGAACAAATGATTCCCGAAGAATTCGAACTTATAACACCAAATATCTGATACATAGATATTGTTATTGGAACACACTCATGTTGCAGCTAGCTTCATAGAGTAATAAAATATATATAATAATCTATCAATGAGCGGCAACTATTGTTAAGTTGTTTTGTCCTTCGGAGTGATCAAAGTCTATCGAGTTTATCAAGTTACAATGATACAATGTGAAAAGATTACAGTCGAATTTATGAACATATATTGTTTTTGTTACTGGTGCTATAGTGTACCAAAACAAAAATATTTATTTAATGTACATGTATATAATTAACATTTGTAACAAAGTACATACTTAGATTCACAACTCTTCCATGATACTAATTTCATTAATAGGTTTTATAACAGACGATAAAACCATCTGTTTTATGTTACTAAGTTTTATTTTAACATTGTTATAACCTGTAAATTTAGTTACAATTTTATAAGTTAATGAAACAGCTTTGAGGTTTTCTTTCGAGTGTCCAATAATCTGACATCTGATGTGGAGTCATTTAGGCGGGTAGGGGAATTCGTAGGTTGATCGGTAGAATTCGATCATCATTAAAGGACTAGACAAATATTTCAACCCTCCAGAAAGTCATTCGTGACCTGAACAACTCAATGGTAGTTTCTCAGACTGTAAAGATCCTAATTTTACAAGGAGAATGAGTGCCTTCAAGACTGAAAATATGACTTGTTAACGAGTGTCAACTAGGATGAAATCTACTTTTAGTACGTAATTAGCCAAGTACTTAAAACTTGATGGAACAATTTTTTTAAATATTTTACCGAGTTGAGTGAACACTTGGACAAAAAAATAGAAATAAAATAAAAAGCAAAAACAGACTACATTTTACTAATACCCCTAAATTATACGACTATTAATGCTAATTAAGCTAAATAGAGTAACGTTTTTAGTGAGCGTCAACAAAGTGACGGAGATATATCCAGCTTACGAGTCCCAAGTAGGGAGAAATGCGTGTTCTAGATCCTGTTGACAGCCACTACCTCACTTTATTAAAAGCTTGTGACAAAATGGAATTATCGAGTCAATTCTCTCAGGATATCCATATGCCAAAATAGACTGATCAATTACAAGCCAGAACACTTACAACAAGAAGATCCAAACTCTTAAAATTGAATTAAGCAGAGTATAATATCATATCTGAGACTTCCTTTCCGTTACATTTACCGGTCTAATGTACTTGTCTCTCAATAAACAAACACCAAGTCTACAATAGATAAATAGTGGGAAACTTTGACTCAGAACAACGAAAACAATTCACTTAATATTTTCACCAGAATTTGCTATCGTGATTATATATTCAAACATCTGTAATTCTAGTGAAGTTGAAATTCTTTCAAAAAATTTATGGATAAGTTCGGATATCATGAACTGAGACGATGCAAAGAATACCAGAGAATGTTTAAAATCTTAGCACTCCAATCAACCTGCAATCAATAAACCTACTGAATCAGAAAATAATTTCTTCAGCGAAGGAATCTTTGTTTATGAGTTTATTTTCAACGATGCACAATCGCATTTATGTGTACCTGATTAATTACACGTCTGTGAATAATTATCTTGAAATACATCTAATTTACAAATCAATTAGAAGGCGAACCTATAAATAACTATAAGACCATAAAGTGACCTTGTTTAGAGGACCACTGAAAGCCAAAGAGCGCTAGACAGCCGTTTCGTCTTAGTATGCAGTGAGCATTCATGACCTCATCAGCACACGATCCCAATAGTTTTAATGGATCTCCACAAAATCTCTTCATTCGATATAAATTTCGTTTAAGAAATACTTTAACAAATCTACACAAGAGTGATTACTTACCATTCGAAGTTTATGACATAATTTTTCGCGCCAATCATCAGCTGGTGGCATTTCTGGTATAAATACCCAATCAGCTTCACATGCCATAGATGCGACAAGTGCTAGATAACCACAATGTCTACCCATCACCTCTAAAATGAAACATCTTTGATGTGAATGAGCTGTAGTAGAGATTGCATCAGTCGCTTCAATAATTCTATGCAATGCTGAGTCTGCACCAATTGTCATATCTGTACCACAAAAATCATTGTCAATACTACCGACTAAACCGACAATATTTAAACGATGAAATTGTTTGGCATTTTCTGCACTAATTTTACCTGTAATAATAATAAAATGCAAGACATAATGTTAATTAGCTACTGAAAATTATTAATGGAATGGTAATTCAACTATTGGAATATTTGAATTTTACAACCGATTGTAGGTTGAAGGTCTGAACCCTGATCCACTTACTTTGGTGGAGTTTTGTTCTCTGAGCTGGATGGTTTGGTCGTGGAGCTTTCATCGTTCTTCTGAATGACATGATCAGCATAAACTTTAGATAGAAGTGAAGTGTTCGAATTTCTGAAGTTTGTGCTGATGATGTCGTTCAGAAGGACGATGAAAGCTCCACGACCAAACCATCCAACTCAGAGAACAAAACTCCACCAAAATCATCCACCTGATCTACAAATCTTCTCCACGTGATAAATAAATTACAGGAAATATTAGCACAGGCATATTTAATAGTGTTGATCATGTTATATATTTATGTGGCCTATTTGTAAGTGTTTAAGTATTTACCAAGTATCTGCTTACACATGAAGTTGATGAAGTTCAGTCATGTGGGCTTAGAGACAGGCATCAGTGAATAAGAGTCAAGAAAAATCACGAATCGATCGAAGTTGGAGAATGTGAATTGTTGAGTCCTGGCTCATTACTATAAATAGTAACATACTGATAATTATGTGGGTACTGGTTTCGGCTTATGAAGAGGTCTTGGGTATGTGCTGCTGTGGAATCTCATACTACGACGAATCCTCCATTTAGTGGTTTGCTAGCTGTGATCAGTTAGCGATGTAAAACCACAAACTGAAAGTGCAGAGCCAGCCGAAAAACGTCAACTACTTTAGGGATGTGTTCTATATTCAAAACTGTCCATCCTTTATTCTTAATCAAAAAAATTGCTTCATCAATCAGATTAAAAATTATTACTAGGAAGGTAAACTTCATTTTAACATAAGCGAATTTCACATATATACATATAGTAATAAAACTTAACTAATGTGACAAGTTCTTCCAATAGATTTGACCATTCAGTTCGAAATAGATTAGCACCAGTTAAAGAACCATCACCACCAATAACCACTAAATTGGTGATTTGATTTTTGACCAGATTTTCAGCAGCTTTTAAACGTCCACAACGTTCACGAAAATCCATACATCGAGCTGATCCAATCTTGGTACCTCCCTAAACATTATAATAATACATATAAATGAAATTATAATACCATATTTGATTCTTTCATCATTTAAAAAATATATTTCACAGTTTATTCCACTTAACACTGAATGGTGACTATGTATATTAACATCTATAAGTAAGGTAATACAGTTTGTAAGCAAATTCGCAAATTAATTTATAGTGTAAAGTTATAGAACAGACGTTAGTCTGTTCAACTTTGTGTCGTTTTAATGTATGCTATAAATATCATGTAACGCAATATATGGATTGCATCATAAATTGATTCGAGACTCTAAATAACAGATGAGGTTGTGTGATAATCCGGGGGTTAGGGAAGAACAGAAGGATGAAAATAACTTACGGGGCAGAATTATGAAAGATAATTGTTTGTACATAAGGGAATTAGGCCAAGGAAGGATCAGAGGTTGGGTGTATCGTTTTCGCACGCAGAGTTCGGGCTTCAGTTGGTGGATTCCCAATCTTTTTATCCTTTCAAAGAAATATATTTACCACACAACTCTAAATACGAATGTACAGTTTAAGTAAATAGTTTCGTCCAAAAGAAAATTTTCTTCTCCGATTCTCTTTTTTTATTCAATGTAACAATGGGTTATTCTAGGTAATTTCACTGCATGATTTTCCTTCCTTTCACATGCTCACAACACCGTTGTGTTGTTCTTTGTGTAGTTCAGCTCTATCTCTTTTTAATATGTAATAAATTTTGTTTAAATGAAAAGAATACTCATATCAAGCTTAACTCAGAATTCAAATAAAAAATAGTTCACACTGTTACAGTACTAATTCCCTCGTATGTAGATTTTGATAAGATTCTAATAATGAAATTAACAAACTTTTTGCAATTATAGTTTCAAGATTTCTTTAGCAAAATTACACTGAACAATTCAATTTGATCTTTCAAGTGAAAAGGTGAATCTGTGAAGCCAATAGGTGGTATGTAAAGATTATCTGAATTACGTTTATGAAGACTAACGGAAGTTTGTTTTTTTTCTATCTAGTTTAGAGTAAATAATTGTCAAATGCCATCTGGCTTTGAACAGTTGTACAGTTGCAATCATTCCGTCATAAGACTTTTCCCTGTAGTGATACTTCCCACATAAACTACATGATTAAATAATTATTGTGTGTTAGGTAATAAATTAGTGTCGAAATATTAATCTCTGGACTTTTTGATGAGAAATGGCGTTTGACCAAGTTCAGAGATATTAGAAATGAAATTGATTGTAATGGTTTCGTTGAAACAAGGCATATAACGGTGTAAATAAAAAAGAATCTCGACTAATCTTTCTAGCATTTTAGAAATAGAGACTCCCAGTATACATGGGAACACTGTGTTGAAAGTCAACATCTGTTTTCTAGTTTCACACCGAAAACCATGAAACTCATGCAAATGTTGATTTGAAGTTATCGGATGCCAGTTAGATGATGTAATCATCCTAGTCTACGAAAACACGGGCGTCTACTCAGATGATTTTGCGTGATCAAGTAACATGTTAGGCAAGGTTTTGACATTTTAGTCTAGTCAATCCTACTTTACGCGTCCAGGCCAAATAATGACGAGATTATTTCATGGTTTTTATGAAATAAAGAGTTTCATAATTTTCCAGACTGGATTACGGATATTGTGGAAGAATGTAAGATTTTACTGGACCATTCACAACATTATATGCATATATATCCTACATTAGGCATTGACTCGGAGTATTTACTTTATTCTCAATGAGCTTTAACATCATACAGTTTTGGAAAAAATCATAAAAGCATCCACATAACCTTTTAGAACTTTTCAATACTTCCTAAAAGTTGTTTTTTTTTCTTAAGACAAACATTAACTGCAGAGTTAAACATAAGACGTTTCAGTTTAGTACAAATCTACTCAACATATTGTAGTATTGGAAAGTTGAAAATAATCGGCAAAAACATGGCGGGCCTTGATTTTCCGGCAATTGGCACCACTCAGTAAGATGTATCTGTAATCTTCAGTGGACAGATGCTTCTAAGTGTATTTAAACCTGCGTCATTCAGCTTCATAGTCTGGGACCTTACCAATGACTCATGAACTTATACTGAGTTTGCTTATTATTCACGAAGTGTTATCGTACCATGATTTTTACTGATAAATAAATGTGTAATGTGGCTACTAACAGTGTTTAAGTTTTAAGAGGTAATACACAACAATCCGCTAAATAATTTGGAGGCGATATCTCACAAGCATAGTATTTTGAACAACCTAGATTATCTTAAAAACTCCTTTATTGTTTCATTCAGCGTTTTGATAAACGAATCAATAAACCACAAATCAAGGCGACAAAGAAAGAATGAGAAAATCTGCTTAAATCGGTATAACGAGTTTGTTTGTTTCACCTACAATGTTTTCACCTTTAAAGCAGTGAAAAACAAATGTTGGATGTAAACAGTTCCATTATTACATATCTGAAGACGAGCACAATTGCATGAGCGATTTATAATGAAATAAATTATTGTATACACTTACTAATTGGAGAATACCAGAAACATCTGCCCACGATGCTTCCTGAATGTTGTTACCACCATCTACAAGACCTTGATATCCTTCTCTGATGAAAAATACTCGGCATCCGCAGTATATTCCCATACGGACTACAGCTCGCACAGCTGCATTCATTCCTTGGGCATCTCCACCGCTTGTGAGAACAGCGATACATTCACCCGTAAATTGTCCTCGGGCAACATATTTACCTTCCATACCAGGTGTCCATTCCGTTGCTCGGCGCTCAAACCTTCGACAAAGTAACAAATATCACCCAAAATATTTAAAATTGACCTTACTGAATATAAGTAAAAAATTTAGTTATCTCAAAACTTTGGAAAACATCAGTAAGCTAATAAGTGATAAATTATGTAAACAAACTCAAATACATACACATCGAATTCGAACACAGTGAAAACTAACAATGCTAAGCGTTAACCTAATCAACCTGACAGAGATATTCACGAGTAATTACCCATGATTTTGGCATGGATCAAGAGACTTAAATATGTTCATTTGAATATGTATACTTCCGAATAACTAACTAGGATAGAAAGCAATAATCGAACCAATACTATTAACAACCAAAGTATTTGAGCGATTAATATTGTGTTTGTTGAACAAATATTTCAAACATAACAAAACACGCTTCTATTCTTTATTTTCTGTACACGTTTTTCTTTATGGTCACTTTCTGTTTCAAAAAAGTGCCATTCCGTCTAACTTATCTGTCGAATTACATAGCTTCATGGATAGAATTACTTAAAACTTTTGAACAAACATAATTTTAATTGCCAACACATGACTATTTGGCCAAGTTAGCCTGCTTCATAAAAAAACCCGCTTACCATCTGACGTACTAGTGAGATTTGTGATCTAATAACCAAATTCTAAGCAAAGCATGAGTTTCCTAATGTTCTCATAAATATCTAATTAATTGGTAAATGTAAATTACATCAAGAACTAAACGAACAAACACAAATCAAGCATGCAGTAATGATCAAAATACAATAAAATTTTCAATAGATTTTACTTATTCTAAAAAAGCTGATGAAGGTTAAAGTCTACTAAAATGGAGATGAAATCTATTTACACACATAGAGTAGCCTTTCAAAATTTTTAAAATGAATAACTCAAACGATTTCAAGTTGAAAATATAACAAAAGTGACAAATTTTATTTTAATCAACTAGCGTTATTTAAAAGCGTCCACAGAGTTCACGGTCTCACTTCACAGCATCACACGTAATTCTTTACTTTTATTCTCATAGATTCCCAGTACAATTTTAAAATACTTTCTACCATAATAATCATACTTCAACGTTAGAATAGACAGATCACAAAGATAAATACAAACATAAATCATTTGGTTGTAATATAGTAGATCGACATTAACATGCCCATTCCAACAAAAAATTGTCCTGAACTTTATTTCAGAAATGATAGAAATTTTTGCGTGGTTCTTAGGTTGCGGGATCCCTTCCGAACTGTTTTATGTGAGCAGATGGTATTTTAGAAGCAGCGAAGCTAACGACAAAAAGGTAATACTAAGCTCAATTCTTAAGGTTTTAACTAAAAACAAAGATAATTTTAAGCCTTATAAACAAAAAGAAAATAGAAAATTATACAACATTCGCTTAGAAATACATTCGGCATTCCAAAAATCTAGATGCAGTGTTAGGGAACTAAATCTTTATAAACAAGAAAGAAACTGAGTTTCGGATTTCAAAATGATATATTTTCCATGATTAAGTAGAATCTGTTTTAAGTGAATAATGCGGTTATAGTGTGCAAGTGAGCTCTAAAGCCTTTAAATATGCTTGTTTGGATTCATAAGTAGAACAAAATTTCCCGTCAAAATTACGTTAATGACTTTAGAGATCAAAACAAAGTGAGCGTCAACTTAAGGCACCATCTAGCTGAAAATATCCAATACTGATAAATTGAAATATTTTCCCTGAATTGTTAACCTTCATTTATCATGGATTATGCTATGAAAAACTTTTAAGTGAACAAAATGTCGAAAACATGAATGCACCAAAAAATTACAAAGAATACAAATAAGTATTATAGTAAACATTTCTTGGCCCAAACAAAATACAGTGAGATTATTTGAAAGTTCTCTTCTAAACAAATAGGATTAACTCATATCACTAACAAAAGCCGGTTTGAATATTCAGATTTGCTCAAAGAGTGGCATGTACAACTAATATCTTTACTTAAAAGAATAACTAGAAAGTTGAGGCAATAATTCATACATCTGTGAGCTTAAAGCTAGGTGCTTAGACAAATTATCCTTTATTTTAAAATTTTAGTGAATAAATTAAAACAGATAACGTAGCCAATCCATGACCAGATCAGTGGCACATATTTTTATAGCACTGTCTATTATTTTGAAAAAAATTCCATAAATCAGTCATGCGTAGCCTATTCTTCGTTATCGTCGTAAAGTAAGCAATGTATGTTCTTTAATATAGTCGAAAGGTATAAACCTTCAGTTCCTTAATTGTTGATTTAGATTTCACTAAAATATTCAATGGAAAACAATACTAGGAGCTGAAGTGGTATAGCTGTTTATGTAAATTAATCTAATTTTATTCTTCAGCAACATCAGTCATAAATTACAGTGACTTGGCCTTTCTAGTGTGGTCTTATTGTTGTAAATACAGCAAGAGTATTAATTTCAATACCACTGAACTAAAAATGATATGTAGTGTAGTTGCCTGAAAGTTGATAACTAAGGGTCCCGAAAACAGTCAACAAGACTTTTAGCTTTCAAAAAACACAGGACTTGAATGAGCATTAGTTTAGAAACAAATCGTTATCAACTTTTCTTGCTCTCTGTTCAGAAACACAAAAATTTAGGGGCCTTGGGCAGCTAATATTTAAAAACCGCTGCACACCGCTGTGTGATAGCAGCCAAGGTTTTAGAACCCTCTTGGGTAGTAAGTATAGCCGTTCAGCCATGTCAATACTAAAAACACTCTTTGTATTCAGTTTTCGTTCGTTTGAAACTCAGGTATCTCATACAAGCAGCCACTACTTAACTAGAAAGGACAGTGTTGTTGGAAAAGGTTCGAAGGACTGAAAATGAGGTGGGTCATGGAACCGCCAAGCTCCTGTATGACGAGATACTGGCTGGACGAAAACTATTTCTCTCGTCATACAGGAGGACAAGAGATGACAATCTTCAAATCGCTTAACGGAAATTACGGATCTTGAGTGCACTCACCTTTTAATCTTCCAAAATAAAGAATTAACGAGGACACTAGAAATGTACACATGTACAGAAAAAATTACCTGCCAGTTGACTATTAACTTTCCCTTTAAACTATCAGTGAACAGAACTCGCTGACTGAATCTCCATCTGTCAATGCACTCAAAAAAAGTTGGATCACAGAGGTTTGCCAAATGAACCACAAAGACATTACAACGAGAGAAATGGATAAGAACTAAATACCTGAAAGGTGCTTAGAAAGACCCTCAGACGTAAATTTGAAGACATATTTAGTAGCGAAAAAAAGAGAGAATCAAAATCAAGTAATTGCTCGTGTTGTGCAAAATAATGAAGATAACATTTCATCAGATATATTCATTTGAATTTCCCAAAGCCCAAGTACTGCCAGTCGGATGAATGCTGGGGAGTTTTAAAAAACACAGGAGTGATGCTACCGTTTGATTTCATTTAATTACAGCTAACAAGCAGATATCACATATACGCAAAAAACTGGTAAAACAAATAAACGAAAGCCAACGTTAGCACAACTATAGCTACTTTCATATACATTTTCCGTATTGAGAAATGAGATTTGTAATTTTAAGTGCACACACAAAAAAGAGCGCCAAGGCGTGTATCAAAGACAATATAAAGTCCAAAAATCATTCGGTTTAGTTAAATAATGTGTAAGAGAGCACTAGTTTGAGTTTTAAAACAAAACTAGCTAACAGAGATCTAAATAGCTTATTAACTGATCATTCACCCAATAATTCAGATTTTAACGTTATAAGCTTACCAGCATTATCTCCTGAAGTTTAAAGTACGTAAATGTTAATTAGATCAGTCGAAAATGATTGAACGTAACAATAGCGAACAATTCTTCAAAACTTACCTTCTACCTTCCATTTTATGTTTGAATGTTTATAAGATAGTGAACGTGGAAGTTTTGTTTCTGAAAATCAAAAAGGTGATTTGAAGCCTTTAGTTGTGTTAATCTGCAGATATCATAAACAGCAGTCACGTACACCAAATAAATAATGGTATAAAGAGACGCTCACAATAAGTGGCTTTAAGTTATGCATTATAACAAAATAAATCTATGTCGAAGGAATCTTGATGGGATTTTCAGTCACACTGATGTATATACATTATCTGATGAGAAACACTAGACAGTATAACGGCGTTATCATGAATTAGCTTTCTAGTTTGAACGAAAAGTAGTGTTAGTATCGACATTTCGACGCAACCTATATCTGTATAGCCCATAAATTAAACTATTACTTACCATTTATTGGCAGGGATTTTAATGTGATTCGACAAAATTTTTGTTCACCGAATCATTTTTCGTCATCATAATCCCGCTTTGTTTAACTCTTAGATAATCTACACGTGCATTTTGATTTTGAATGTGTTGGGGAATAAACCAAACATTTTGAAATTATTGCATGTATTTTCCATTCATTTGCTGTCGCTCTTTTGATTCCCAACCACACGTTCTTCGAGACTTAAAGACAAAAACTGAGAAGATTTATATTCAACAAGCAACATCTGGTGAGGGCCAGAGGTGGTGAACGCGGAAGACCCAATCGATATGGCACGGCTAAGTCATGCAGAAAGAAGATTACAGAGTTTGAAGCATAGGCTGTTGAAGGATGACAGTCTGCACATCAGGTATACCAAAAGTATTGAAAGTAATTTTACTAAGGGCTATGTGGAGAAGGTCTCTGAAATACAGTTGTAGCCTAATTATCTCCCCCGGTGGTATTTACCTCATCAGGGAGTGTTAAACCCGAAAAATCCAGAAAACGTTAGAGTGGTCCTTGATTGTGCAGCCAGGTTTGCAGGGATCTCCCTAAATGGTAGGATTTATCAAGAACCCGACGCCACTGCTGAGCTAGTGTGTTTCTTATTGAGTCTTCGCAAGGAGGCATTTGCAATCTCTGCAGATGTTGAGGAAATGTTCATACAAGTGAGGGTCCCTGAGTCTGATCGAGGAGCTTTAAGATTTCTGCAGTGGCAGGAGGGAGACATGTCGAGGGAACCATTCGAGTTTCAAATGACCCCTCATCCTTTTGGTGCCACGTCATCGCCGTTTTGTGCTAACTGTGCCATGAATAAGACAGCCCAAAACATTCTCTGATGGTTATGATCGTTATGTCGTAGATGCTGTCAAGAACAATTTCTATGTTCATAATTTTTTGATATCCTTTTCCACTTGTGATCAGGCAAAGAAGTTCGTTAAGCAGATAAGTGAATTATTATATAGAGGAGGTTTTAAATTAAAGAAATGGATCACCAACTCAGAAGACGTAAGAACCATCTTGTCTGATGTATGTAAAGAAGAGTCTTTGATGGAAATGTCAACGAGTTATAATACCACCCATCGAATTCCAGGTGTGGAGTGGGATTTCAAACAAGATGTATTTAAGTTTTACTTCGATGCACCAGAAAAGCCTTTGACTAGGAGAAGGGTTCAATCTATAGTTTCTTCTCTGTTCGATCCTTTGGGTCTAATTGCTCCAGTCTGCCTTACCGCCGAACTCCTCTTGCAAAAATTACGTAAATCCCAAATAGGCTGGGGTCAGCCTCTCAACGAGCCATACATGTCCACGTGGCTAAATTGGGTGAATTTTATGCGTCAGGTAGGTCATTTGACGGTAGCTCGAGGGATCAAGAATGGCATCGACGAACCTGACGCGAAAATAGAATTACATTTGTTCAGTGATGCGTTCGAGATTGGTTATGGAGCAGTTGCGTGCGCACGAGTTAGCTATTTGAAGAAATCACTATACTGTATCTTGTTGTACAGCAACTCTAGGGTATCACTTATCAAACAAGTTACTATACCGAGGCTTCAGATGGCGCAGAGGTGTTAAGTGTAAGGCCGAGTGAAGTCTTACGAAGGGGTCTGCCCAAATTTTTATGCGATGTGAACTTCCATACAGATTCTATGATAGTGTTATACTACATTAAGAACACCGGAAACCGATATAGCACCCATACAGCCAAACGCTTCGCTGTTGTTCACCAGTATACGAAGGTTTAACAATGTAGTTATGTAAAGTCGTCACAGAATTCAGTTGATTGAAACTCGAGAGGCATACAAAAAATGATCAATCTTGAATCTTGGTCTAAATATCCTACTTTACTGCATGGCGATTTTTGTATAACAATTACTAACTATCCGGAACTTACTCCTGACAATATTGAGTCCAGAAAAACTGCTGTGCTCAACTAGAGTAGTATAAAGTACAACATATCACCTATTCTTTCTTACTATTCTGAGTGGTTGAAATTAATCAGTTCTGTAGCCTGGCTAAGAAGGTTCTTAGAACTCCTAGTGGTACTTCGTTCACAGAGTCGTGAAGGATCCGTTCATTTAGGATGTTTAAAGGTCAAAGAGCTTGACATTGCCAAGCTTAAAATTATATTGATGGTTCAGAAAGAAGTGTGTGGAGAATTACTTAGTGAATTTAAAAACAGCAGTAAAGTAGTTAGTCATAATGATCTGAAGGGTTTATCACCGATAATGCTTGGTGGGTTACTCTGTGTTGGAGGTCGACTAAGCTACTCAGATTTCTCAAATGCTTTCAAACATCCAATAATTTTACCCACTCGACACTTAGTGACGGAAATGATAATTAGACATTATCATGACGAACAAGAGCACACAGCAACGTCTCAAGTACTGGTCACAATTCAAAAAAGCTATTGGATAGTTAAAGGAACCAGCACGGTTAGGAGAGCGACTGGAAAGTGTATGACATGCCGGCGGTTTACGATGAATCCAGGACAACAGCTGATGGCGCCGCTTACAGCTTGTAGAATGCAACAAGGCTGTTATAGCTTCTCAGCGGTAGTAGACTACTTGGAATCCTTTTCAGTCAAAAGAGGAAAGTCATTGGAAAAAGATATGAACGTATATTTACTTGTTTGCAAACAGGAGCAGTACATGTTGGAGTGACTTATATTTTAAATACTGGTTCATTTATAATGGCCTTATTACGTTTTATTGGAAGAAGAGGGAAACCTCCAGAGATTAAAGTGACAGTGGGTCAAGCTTCGTGGGTGCAGTCTCTGAACCAAGGAGGTTTGTGCAACAGTTGAGTCAGAAGAAGATAAATAATGAATTGTCAGCTAGGCAGATTCAATGGCATTTTAACCCGTCTTCACCCAGCCACAGGGGTGCAGTTCAGGAAAGGATGATTAGGTCTATACGTTGACTGTTATTGTCGATCACAAGAGAACTGACTCTAACTGATGAAACCTCGGGCACTTTTTTGGTCGAAATTGAAAGGATATTAAACGATCGACCATTAACTCCGGTTATCCAAGATGCTAACAATGAACTAGCCCTATCGCTAAATAGTTTGCTGTAATTTTGGGGGGAATCATACACAACAGTCGAAGAAGTTAGCATCAGAGATAAACATGACAAACGTTGGGAATAGGTTAATTATCTAGCTTATGTGTTTCGGAAAAGGTGGTTAAGAGAATATTTGCCGTCCCTACAAAAACGTCAAAAATAATTAGTTGAACATTGCAATTTTCAGAAAGGAAATGTAATAATCGTGGCTTCGGACATCTCGACCCGTGAAAGGTGGCCATAAGGAGTAGCTGAAGGCTGTGAAATAGATAACGACGGAAAGGTTGGGACGGTAACTGTCCGTACGAATAATGGATTAGTAAGGAGGAATATACGTAAGGTATGCCCCCCCCTGAAGGTTCGAATCAGTTCCTTGTTATGCCAATGTAGGCAGGTCGAGTATACATACTGTTGTAAGTCCTGCTCGTTCCTCTGGTGTAGAATATGTTGAAGAATGAACCATGACCGGAGGCATCAAGGCGGCTTGTGTTGTATGTGATAAGTCGTGCTGATTGAACGCTATATTCGTTTCCTAAGCTATTCTGTAACCCCCAAGCCAGAACTATACAGCGACCCGAACACGAGAGAGAAGACGCAAAGTATGAGAGAAGTACTTTACTCCAAGGTTCATCTTACTACAGAAAATAAAGGGTTTTTATAATATTTTGAATGTCCTTAGGTTGCTAGAAGAAGAAGAATGCTACTAAACATAGTAGCAGTATAGAAATCAGCCAATCAGAACCCCTACATGTGACGCTTCGCTTTCTTGATATTTTTGGCTAAAACTTTAGTGAATACTGATTGGATGAAACGCTTCTTAGAGTCTCCTGATCCTTGCTTGTCTTTTGCAAGAAGTTTTCTGGATCACTTCAACAGTATGAAGGGATTTTGCGGGCCGTTGTAAGATCCATTTTTGGAATGTTTTGTGTGTGAAAATCCCTCCATGTATACACTTGCAGTTTGTTCCTATTGAATCCTTTAGTCGTATATTTTGTTAGTCTTTTTTATTCCGTTTGAGTTGTTAATATTTGTATTTTATAATAGTTTTTATTTTTCTTAAGCCTTCACTAAGTTTCCGTGTTTCTTCTTGAACTGCATTTATGTTGTTTTACTTGATACTTAGTCTTGACGGCAGCCATATTGGTTTGTTCCTCCTTTTGATTGTGTTGCTTGTATTGAATGGAATTGAGCATTTTTGATAGTGAATCGAAGCACTCTTCTAGAATTGGAAACACTGTGCTATAAAGCAACTCAATATTATCTTTTGAACGAATCTGTGCGTGGTCTATCCAGACAGGATAGAACAATATTTATTTTTTGTGATTGGTAATTTTCTCGCATCTTTTATCGACTTCCGTATTCATTGAAATTTAGATTTGAATAATTGAACAATTCTTGGTTGGATAGCTGGATGGTCATATTTGTTTAGGTAAAGATGTACATTTAAATGTATGATGAATATTAGAACCGTCATTTTACCCAATTACATTGTTTTGGCTTCAACCGGGCAAGAACGCGTATCTAACTCACCTAAACAGCT